ACACACTGATTTCAGCAGTGAAACTCATTTCCTGTAGTACTTAACTTCGTCTGTTCCTTGGTGCTGTGCAAACACTAAGTGTATCAATGTCTTGAGCAGTGTTACATAAATGTAAAATGTGATTCGTGTATATGTTTACCACCATAAAAACACATTCGTTCATAGTCTACAAAGACTTAAGCTCTTGGACAAATTAAACAGGGATCCTTGTACTGTTCCTGGTAACTGTCTGTAACTGGAAAACCCAACCTTCTATTTGGGGATTTGAACTCTTGTATCTTCAGCAAATCGCATTTTCAGTATTTTAAAGTCAGATTTGACTTCTGGTGAGTAGCAGCTGGTTCTTCCTTCCTCTTAAGAACTTTCTATGGGGTGGCCTTCTTTCGGTGGTGTGCCCGACAACACTAACCTCCCCTCCTGGAAGCAGTGTGCATACCCAGAAAAGGGGTTCCAAGGGGAGCTTTCACACATCCCTGATCTATCATCCCGCTCTGTCCAGCCCTCACTCTGCATCCCACCATGATTTTAGCATCAACCCAAAATGTTCTTTTAGATTTTTATAAATTCCACTTAATGGGGTACATTCCTCTTTTGGGTGAAATTGATGTAGACTGTGTGTAAATTCTTGTCCACCACGCCAAAAAGAGGTGATTAAGAAAGGCATTTGCTTCCCCTCTGGCGTGGCTCAGTGGTTGAGTGTCGACCTATGAACCAGGAGGTCATGGTTCAATTCCCAGTCAGGGCACATGCCCGTGTTATGGCCTTGGTCCCTAGTGTGGGGTGTGCAGTATGCAGCTGATCAATGATGCTCTCATATCATTGATGTTTCTCTCTCTTTCTCCCTCTATGATATCAATAAAAATATTTAACAATAAAAAAGGCATCTGCCCATTTGATGGGACGTCTTCACAGCAGTACAGGCAGGAGGCTTCACAACCCTGGGCAGATCTGGGGCCTCTGAGGCCACAAGAGCTGCACAGTTAGTTTGAATCAGACCCAGGGTCCCAAACACCCTAGTCACCTCATCCCTCTAGGACAGCGGAAGGGCTTGCAAAATCCAAAAGAGGCAGAAAGCCTCTCTTCTCTTGGAAACGAATCCTCTCAGGAGAGTTCTGTTTCTATTGGAAATCCAAGGCTTTGCAAGCAAACATGATAAGACTTTCCAAAGTCACTGGATGAATATGAGTGTAGGACTTAGGATACTTAGGTGGGTTGAGGGGAGGGAGGTGAGAACTGGGATATGCGTTCCCTTTCATTAGAGTCTCTATAGGTAATGATTTCCCGACTTAATCAAAGGCAATGGAAGCTGCTTCTCCCTCACCTATTAAAAGGAGAAAGATGGGTATCTTTGATTGAAAGCAAGGCATCACAAATTCTTTAATTATAGGCACAAAGAGGCTTTGAGCTCATCTTGTATCTGCTTGGCTTTCCGCAGGATGGCATTAAACCTTCCTAAAAAGTATAAGACTCAACCTATTTTTAGACACACCCAAAGAGGGTATCTGTCTTCTGTTCCTTTGTGAGACCAGGAATTTTTTCTTTTCCCTTTTCTAACCTCACCACAGGTGAACTTTTCCTATTACTAACCTGAGCCTTCACATTAGAATTTGGCTTGGTTTGCTCAGTGGAAATGGTGACCAACTGGTCACCATTAGCCTTTTCTAAACTGTACTTCCATCTGCCCCTCTATATGAAATTATAACAATTAAATAGGAATTAAATCAATAAATTTGGAGCTAGATGCCGACTGACTCATTCATTGACAAAAGGCTGTCATCCTTCTTTTCCTCATATCCTTTTCTTTTTCTGCTGTCAGCTCCAAGGCTCTTTCTCCCTTCCCCCTCTCTCTTCCAAATTGCACACGTGCACACACACATACCTTACAACACATGTGCACATTCACACTCTGATAAATTTAGAAAACACCCCTTGGATAGATGACCTTGGCCTCCCCTGGTCACAGCAAGGGGTAATGGTTAAAGGCACAGACTCCGGAGCCCACTGTCATGGCTTAAAATCATGGCTCTGGGTGCTTGGGCACATTTTGTAACCTCCCTATCTCTCTATTTTCCCATCTGTAGAATGGAGACAATAATAGTATCTATCTTATAGGGCTGTGGAAAAGGTTAATGAGTTAATTACATAAAAGGCCTTTAAAATGGTGTCTAGTGCTCCAATTGCAAATGCTATATAGTTGTTAGCTACTTGAAGCAAAGGGACATTTGGAGGCATTACACTATGCTTGATATTCCAGAAGGCATGAGCTGGAGAAAGAAAAGGAGTAGGACTCAAGTTTAAGGGTAGTGGATAAGAAGGAGTCATCAAGGTCAAAGATTTAAAAAAAAAAAGACAAAAAGCAAGTAAGAGATAGAAGAAAATTACAGGGAAAGCGGAACAGCAGACATTTATCTTAACAGGAAATGTAGGAAGAGAAAAACATTAGGGAAAAGAAAAAGGGAGAGACAAGAGTAGAAAGACGGACATGAAAAGACAGACAGAAAAAAACGACTGAGAATTAGAAAAAGATGCCATTTAAGTTAGAAAAGACTCCATTTACAGTTTGAGCTGGATATCAGGAAAAGGATTGGAAGAGAAAACAAAAATGTTGGATATAGAAGCAGGGGAAGTCAGGACAAAAGTGATAGGGGGAGAGGAGATACAAATGATAACATAAAAAGATTCCTTCGCATCAACAGGCCTCTGTGACTGTGTATCATGGGCAGCTTCTTCAAAAATGAACACGTACATAATCCACTAGGCTTCTTTCTCTATCTTGCCTATTTTAACTTGCTTCCGAGTCTGCCACAGACTTAGTCATAAGGTCTGTCCTGATCAGATAGATGTCTGCCCTCTGTCTTGTCTACTCCACCCAACAAGGCCCAGAGGCAGTGATCAGTCTTCATTGCATTTTCACTAAATACTCAAGCCATCAAGTGAAAATTTAGCTCCGGAGAAAATATTTACACCCTCTTCCTTCTCCAAACATTTACAAACCTCTAAGGGAAACTGGTATTTTAATTTTTTAATTTTCATCTTAACGGCATTCTTTCCATTCCCACCACTCTGGCTTTTTTTGGTCAATTTAGAACGAGAACAAAATGATACAATACTGCAGGGATAGGCCACTTTCAGGGCTCCAAACAGCCCTTCCCACCAAAAGGAATTCATCACCCAACCCCTTGGAAACAAGAGAAAGGCTAGATTGAGGTTTAAAATAAAATCCGTTTTTTAAAAAAACACTTTTTCTTTTAAGTGTTATTAAATTGTCTGTTGGTGCAAAATAAGTCCCCCTATTGGAGGAAGTCGAGCGACCTTAAAAGGCCCTCTAAAGTGGACGGACCGCGAGCGTCTCCTGACGCCGGGGTGAGCTTGGGCCGCCGCCGGAATCACGAAGCCAGACGCGGCGCGCGTCTCCGCCCCGGACTCGGGGGACTGCGGCAGCGCGCACCGCGGCCGCGGCCGGGCGGCTCCGGGAAGGCCGGGAGGAGACGCGACTCCCGCAGACACGTGACCGCCCAGCCGCCGCTTCCCGCGACCCAGATCTGTCCCCGGAACCCGCGCCCGGCGGGGCGAGCCGAGGGACACGTAGCGACGGCTCCAGCCCCCGCCGCGCCCGGGTGCGTGTGCATTCGGCGTACTTCTCTTGATTCACGTGCCACTGGCAATAACGACTGTTTCGGGGGAACACCCGGGAGAGCGTGGGCACAGGAAGGAAAGACCTCTGGTTTTAGTTCTACCCACATGCATCTCCATCCCACTCCCGCAGACCCAAGTAGCGGCACTGGGGCTTAGACCTGGGATTCCCGCAGGATTTGCGTGCCCTTGGCCTCTACGGCCCTTTGCCGCTGGCCGGCGTCAGTGAGCATCTCCCGCACCTCCCGGTAACTCTCACTGGCAGTGAGTCACGTTCCCGGGCTGGCCCGGGGGAAAAGGTAAGCCCGGCTCCCGCTGGCCCGTGCTTCCTCTCGGAGTCGCCCCGGCTGCAGGGGGAGCGAGCGCGCCCGCCCGCGCGCGCGCGCACCGGGTTCCCCGCGCAGTGATGTGGCAGCCGCGGCAGGTCGGATCACGTTGCTGGCCCTGTGCTGGTACCCGTTTGAGACAGGATTAAGGAGGGAGGCTTCGGAGGTGCCAGCGGTAGTAAACGTGGGCTCCGCACGCTCCCGGCGTCGCTTATCGCACAAAGGGGGGAGGGGAGAGGAAGCTCGCAGCGCCACCCCGGGCGCATCTGCTGCTGTGATTAGTGGCACTGCAATTCCGGCTGCTGCGGGAAGTTTGGGTGGCCCAGGGACACTGTCGCCAAAAGACTCTTGGATTGCGACATTCTGACCCAGTGACATTTTGATTTATCTTAAGTCTTTATGGGGGGAGATTTCAAGTGGTCTCTTTTCGGGGCAACCTCCAACCAAGGCCAAGGGGTCCCCCAGGCCACTGGGCGGTGTGCAAACAAGTCTCCAAAATTTCCTCCGGGACTGAAGTTTACCCACCGCGAATTCTCTTTCTCTTTCCTTTCTCTGGTCCAAACCAACAGCGCAGTCGGTGGAAAAGCAAAAAGCCACGTTCACGTTCCTGCACCGTAATGACGGATGGACTGAGGGAGTCACATTTCCGAGCTGAGGAAGC